TTCAACACTTCTCCAATCTTTCATTGGTATTAGAAGGCATTTGTTAAGGAATCATTCTCTTTGGTACTTCCTTTCACACAATTTCACAACAAGTTTGTCACTAATGACAGTGTTGTTTATATTATTGTATGATGTGGAGGATGTGATTATACTCCTCATTGGATTTTCTTTGTTTCTCCATTTTTTTGTAATAAGTATTAGGGGAAGTTAGAAAAAATGCAACAGCAAAAAAAAAATGGCATGAATCAAAAAATGAAATTAAATAATACTGTTAATGAAAATAAATACAATGATATATAAACAGTTTAAAGAGGTATTAGGAGCTTGATGCTAAACAACAGCAGCATAGAAGAAATCAATGTGAAGTGAAGTGAAGTGAAAAAGAAACTTGTCTTTTATATAAGTCAGGCAATCCATTCATGCAGTTCTCTTTTCTCTGTTCAGTTTCTTAACCTATAGATGTCTCTTCACTATTTGAAAGTATATTATGATTAAGACAGCTTTATGGACAATCTCCACTGGAAGCAATGGGCATGAAGAAAATAGTTTGTTACGTGTGAAATATGTTTAAAAAATCAGGAGAGCAGTTTAATTACATTTACTTTCCTAATTTTGAGAAAGTTTTGTTTTATCATTTGTCACTGTATATAATAAATTACACAGATATTTCTAAAGATTAATTTGTAAAATATACATTCCTAGTATGTTTGGTAATAATTTTAGTATTCATGAATATTACAAAGTGGAACTGTTTACAATTATGCCTTTTACAATAGCAGCAAGAAATGGTCTGGTATAATTGCTTAGCAACTGAAATGAGACATAGAAAAGAAAAGATTGTTATTAGCTTTTCAAGTATAACAGATTTAAATACTCATTAATATTTTAATATTCCAATGCAGTGTAAAAGGTAACTGCATGAATACCTTTTGAGAAATTCATTGCATATATAAGATTTAAAAAAGAATCATATACTGCACAGAATACTTTAAAAAGTCAAGTTGAAGGTAACATGCAAATTTTACTTTAAGTTATTTGCTAATATTTAAAGTTGTGACTCATTAGTTGTTTAATGTTGCAGATGCCAGGACTACCTAAGGATACTTATCCATTCACTTGTTTACCACTTTTATTTACTATAATTTAAATGAACATATAGGTGTGAGCTTACATGGAAAACACATGTATTTCATAGTATTATAAGACTTAACCAAAGAATCATATTTGAAGGCAATGTCATTATATTCATGTTTGCTTTTTATTTTTACAATTTCAAATTTACTTATGTTAGTGATGTAAATGATAATTCTTGCATCACACTGATTTATAGTTCTAAAGAAAGACATAATGTTCATACCTTTTGTATTCTTTTAAGCCAGAAAAGGTTTCAGTACTGTACAGTCTGTTGAGAAATAAGAATATATTAATAGAAATGTTTTGTAATAATGGGAATGTAATAGAGACTTCTGGAAAGAAATAATCTAGCATTTCCAATGAAGCGGCCATTACAGTTGGTTTCATAATTACAATTTTTTTCTCTCTCTCTTACTCTCTCAATTCTAGCACTTACTAAGAATACTAGCTACTTTCTTCCTGTTTTACTCTGGTTATGATACTATTAAATCTTCTCTTTTCATTCTTTTAGTTGTGTGTGATTTTCTCTTTTTTTCTGGTGCCACACTGAGGAATGTACAGCTACCTGAGGCGGTTTCTGTTGCCCTCAATAGGTCTGGCAATTAACACACGTGCTGCAGTTGGTCTCACTGTTGTTAAATTTGTGTTACCTACGACTCTGCTGTAAACTTTTTTATACTGACTGTAGCATTTTATCACCCTGAGAATATATCAGAAGTGAGTGCAAAGTGAAAAGTGAACCACTGGGTTGTGTGTTCTTTCGGCAGACCTTGTCTTGTTGACCACTTTTGTGTATTATAAAAGTTCTTGTTGCTATGTTATGGATATAAAATATAGCAAATTATGATTAAACAATAGTCTAGGCAAAATACTTTTATATATTAGCTATGCATACATGTTAAGAATATTTAATATTAAATGGCATGTGGTGGCAAGTTCCGTAGCTGCTACAGGTTGGCAATATATTCCTAAATTCTCTTTATCTATACTTCAATGTCTCTTTTTTCCTTTTTAGAAGACATGAGTTCACTTTGGTCTCATATGAAACCAATGACCCAGCTTGCAATGCCAATTTCTCCCTCTTCACCAACTTCCTCCATCTGTAATCTCAAATAGGTATAATACCCCAAAATTACCCATCCACCATATATTGTATATCTTGCCTTATCATTGATTAGTTGATCAATAAAATATTATCCATATAAGCTCTTCTTTCTATACTGTATCTCTTAGGGAAGTAATCTATGGCTTTCTGTTTCACATACGGACTGTGTACACAGATTTTTGATCTCACTACTTTTCATGGAAGGGTTTTAAGGGAAGGTCTAGAATATGTGAAATTATATTGATTCAATAAACCCATAAAGATTTTATAAAACCATGTTTATGTTTTCTGGCATATTTCCAAATCATAAGTTGATTTCTGATTGCTATCTACCGAATGAGAAATGAGAGAAAAAAAAGATAAAGACATTTACCAAGTGTACTGTAAATATTCCATGCATCTTTTATTGCTCTTGGAGTCCTGAGATCTAGTGGTAAGTTTAACCTTCATAGCAGAAGGGTAATTTTACCTATCAGATAAACTACAAATGGTACAAAGGAATTTCTTTATGGCAAATGCTATTGTAGAATGAAGAAAAGAAGAGAAGATCAAAGAAAAACAAAGAAACAAACGAAACATCATGTGCAATTTTAAAATACAAAAGACTGATTTTAAAAATTCATACATTTCATTTACTTCATATTTACCTATTACATTTTATTCAACAATGTTAATGAGCACATTGTCCATTTGTTTACTGAGTTCATGTTTTACATACTGTTGTTCACACATTCAACATACTTTGCACTGATGCATTAAAATTGTAACCTTGAGTGGCAGATCTCCCTATTTTTATCATGTAGAAACATGACATATAAATAGTCCTTGTATAATAATACCAGCTATGACTAGCTAGCAGTGCATGAGACTGTCATAAGAATTGTGTCACAGGACTTCATAAGCATATGTCATTTGTGACTAAACTTATTTCTCTCTAAGTGTGCGATGTGTCCAAGGGGAAACTTACCCACCCTATACTACATTTCCATTATGCAAATATTCCAAAATAATCTTTAAATCACTTATACCTGTTGTTAACCAGCTGCTTGGTGCTTGTACTAAATGCTAAAGAGAAATTCTTCAAGCTAGAAGTCAGCTTTTGAACCACTTTTCAGGAGAAGTTATATCTAGTGTGTAAATATCTTTTTTGGGGAAAGGAATGGTGTAATTGATTTTTCTAATCAAGTGAAAATACAGAAAAGCCATCCACTTCAAATTTATTTACTATTTTAGTAAAGTTAAGCTTATATCTTTGAATCCCAAATAGACATTAGAAGATTCTACTCTTTTTAAGTTTAAAGCTAGTTATTGTATGTAAAGTATGAAGATAATCCATTGGTTTAGGGGATATATTTCAAAAGAGCACTATAGTCAGCTAATTTTATATAAAAAAAAATATATATATTCCTTTTAAAATAAATAATGATCATTCAGTGTTAATGAAGGAAGGTATGAACAAACATGATTGATGAACTAAAATGATTGTCTGATAATTGTTACAACAAATTTTCACTACTTTTGAGCCAATATAAATAAAGGAACAGGTATGTAAGTACGCATGTATACACTTGGGAATTTTGTGTGTGTGTGTGTGTGTGTGTGTGTGTGTGTGTGTGTGTGTGTGTGTGTGTGTGTGTGTGTGTGTGTGTGTGTGTGTGTGTGTGTGTGTGTGTGTGTGTGTGTGTGTGTGTGTGTGTTGTGTGTGTGTGTGGTGTGTGTGTGTGTGTGTGTGTGGTGTGTGTGTGTGTGTGTGTGTGTGTGTGTGTGTGTGTGTGTGTGTGTGTGTGTGTGTGTGTGTGTGTGTGTGTGTGTGTGTGTGTGTGAGTGAGTGAGTGAGTGTGTGTGTGTGTGTGTGTGTGTGTGTGTGTTGTGTTGTGGTGTGTGTGTGTGTGTGTGTGTGTGTGTTGTGTGTGTGTGTGTGTGTGTGTGTGTGTGTGTGTGTGTGTGTGTGTGTGTGCGAGTATAAGGAGTTAGGAGACAGAGATATAGAACAACAGACTGATAGATAGACAGAGGAGTGTAGAGAATATGAATATAATACTTACAATTAAAGCAAATAAATAATAGTGATCAACTTTACTCACTGTTAAATATCAAGTTCTTACAGGGTATTCAAGACATAGAGTATGATATTACAAATTTTCTTGAAGCTTCCTATAATTATCTGATATTATTGTTAATTTTGCACGATTTCTAAAGCAGTTAGCAGAATGATAATGATAAGATAAAATAAATCAGTAATCTAAGCCTATTTTGAAGATATGTTAGTTATACTTGCACACATATATTTTTAATATATATATGGTCTGTTCTTAAAGAAAGGCTGTCTTTATAATTTAGCTTTGCTCATTGCATATAAATATGTAAGCTAGAATAACAAATATTTGATACAGAACAAAAAAAAAGAAAATGAACATTTGATACAGTTGACACAGTAGCGAAATGCCTGTAATGTATTGAAATCAGTGAAATGTTTCTAGTTTGATGGACTTCTCTTCAGAGTAAAATCAAATATTCTATATTCCAATCTTTCAGCTCTTGTAATGCTCCATATGCTTTAGTACTTGGACAACTGTCTTATTTATTTTTCTGAAAATCTCTGTAATGTAAAGCATGTGACTGAACTACTGCATTGAATGATGGATCTTCAGTTTGCCTAAGTACCGTATACAAAATGAGAAATACCCAGAGTCATAATTAACTTTGATTACATCCTAGGAGAAAGATCTTATTTCTGATATACACGGTAAATTTTATTTTG